GAGAGAGAGAGAGAGCATGAGAAGGGAGAGGGTCAGAGGGAGAAGCAGACTCCCCGCTGAGCAGGGAGCCCGATGCGGGACTCAATCCCGGGACTCCGGGATCATGACCTGAGCCGAAGGCAGTTGCTTAACCAACTGAGCCACCCAGGCGCCCTTCTTCCCCTTTTTTCAATACAACTGTCAGCATATTTGTAGTTTGGGAAAAAATTCAAGTTGCAGTAAATTCACATGATATAAAAGACAATACCTGGAATTTAAGCAAAAATAAACAAAAAAGCCTGAGTTAGTATCTCAGTTTTGCTACTTACTTAAGCCTTTGTGATCATAACACAAATCAAGTAAAATATTTGAGCTTCCGTTTCCTGTTGTGTAAAATGGGAGTGTAAAGAGTATACTTAGCTCCTAGAGTTATTTTCTGGATTCAGGATTAAATGAGATAATGTGAAAATTGAATGAGATATACTAAAAAAAAAAAACACTTTATAAATTGTAAAACCACAAGCAGATTTAACTTAATAAAAATTACTAGAGAGAGGTACATGGGATACCTCTGTATTATTTCTTAACATTGCATATGAATCAACAATTGTCTCAAAAAGTTTTAACTTTTGAAAGTTACAAGATCACATCCTTAAAGAGAAACAAGAATTGACTTTAAAAGAGAATGCCCCCTATATAAATTTTCAGTGTTAGACAACACTCCTGTCTACTTAATATGTCAAAATATTAGCAAAAATATATGTGAAATGATTTTACATGCTTTTCTTTCTGGCACTAGATGATTGCTAGATGATTAAGAGGAGCTGGAGTGTTTAAATTTAGCCTCAGGTAAAGAATGACCACAGTGAAGTGGAGACTGACACAGAGGCACCAAGTCCAGATGGAGGGTATGGAGGGTGGAGGAGTATCAGCCTTCAGAGGTTGCAAAGACTCAGAAAGTCCTTAAGTGACTTCTCAATACATGTTTGAATATGCGAGATTTGGTATCAGAAATAAGAAATGAACTCATTTCTATTTTTATCAGCACATGTGTATAGACAGGGAGAGGGACTGTCCATTTGTAAGATAAGGCATAAAGAAATCACATATATGCTTAATTTTAACTTAGGCAGCCTTTTGTTTTTGTACTAACGATAGAAATTCATATTCCAAAGGAAAAAAAAAAAAACACAAGGAAATAAAGACTTACAACCCCTGTTTCTGAGATTTACCTCCCCAGCTGCCCTTTGCTAATTCAGTATATATAGTACTTCTCGTACCTCTTTAGTAATTGGTCGTGAATGAGACAGCCAGAAACTGCTTCATGATTACCTAATTGGGATTATATAACAAACACTGTGGCAGTCCTCTGTACTACTTTTTTTTAAAGATTTTATTTATTTGACAGAGAGAGACACAGTGAGAGAGGAAACACAAGCAGGGGGAGTGGGAGAGGGAGAAGTAGGCTTCCCGCTGAGCAGGGAGCCCGATGTGGGCCTCCGTCCCAGGGCCCTGGGATCATGACCTGAGCCGAAGGCAGACGCTTAACGACTGAGCCAACCAGGCGCCCTTGTACTACTTTTCATTTTATCCCCAAAATTAAGACCTGTAACTACCAGAAAGTTACTAATAAACCAGTAGTCAGATTTCTGACACTTTAGCCCCATCTGCTGGATAATTGCTTGTTCCTAGTGCTACTTCATTTTCTGCCATATTTCTGTAGATCATGAAACCAGTGGTAAGGTGAATCTGTTTCTGCATTTCCTCTTGCCCATCCTCCCCAAGGAGAAATAGCTCTTTTAACAGGGTCAGATTAGGTTGTTAGCAACTAAATTTTCATAGTAGTTGGAAGAATCTCCCCCATCTGTAATGGTAATCCAGTTATCTCTGTACAATGAAACATTTATATAAAATAGTTTTAAGACAGGAAATTATTTTTCCATTTCTTTAAAGAGGAACTCTTAAAGCAGGATATGTCATGAAGACCTTTGTTGTAAGAGTTTTCATTAATTTTTTTAAGTAAAGGGTTTTTAAAATATCCAGTGAATGTTTTGATCAAATATATATAATTCTACTTCAAGTATTTTAAAGATGACTTTTCTAAGTGAACGACTCTACTAGGAATGTACATGTACTGCTCAGTGACGTGGACTGAGACCTGGATAACAGGTCCCACTTCTGCCTACTGAGAAGCAGTATCCAGTATAATATAGGAAATCCTTGTACTTGTATATTTTACACATACGAATGCATGTAATATCTACTTGTATAGATGAAGTGAAGTTGGTTGCACACTGACTAATGCTTTGGTGCCTGGGTCCAAGATGTTCCCCTGAGCCCTGAGATGGTATGGGCACCCTCCTCTTGAGATTTGTCCTCAGCGTCTAATTATTTGTATAGAAAGTTGTAATCCACAATAAGGAGCACCAGGCTTCTGGAAATATCTCCTCTTGTATAATCATAAAAGGTTTAGTCAGCTCCCAGGTGAACCAGGTTGAAATACGAGAGATGTGCTTTACTCGGTTTGAAGCAAGGACCAGGCAGGATTCCTCAGAGCTTTCCCATGTTCCCTGAGATTGAACTCCATTTGTTAACAGATACAGGGAGGAGAAAATTGATTGGAGTGAAGGGAGGGAGGGCTTGGGGCTGACCCTTCTCCCAAACACCATAAAGTCCATTTCTGTAGTTGGCCTCTGTAAACATTACAAGATTCCACTGGAGTCCTCTTTGAGGAATGACTTCCATGGCTTTTTTTGTGATCCCCTGGAATATAGCTCTGATACTGAATTGTGGGTATGGAGCACATCAGTCTAACTTACGGATTAAGGACCACATCTTATTTGTTTTAATGGCTGCTTCACCAGCTTACTGCATGTATCTACTGGATGCTTAACAGATACTAGTTTGGTTAAATTATATATAATGAAATGGTATTTAATAGGTGTAATTTTATGGGATTGTTAAAGCATATTTTTACCTTTTCAGCAAACCATTCCTCAAGCTGCTGCAGCAAAATATCCCCGGACAATTCATCCTGAAAGTACCTCAGCTTCTAGATCCCTTGGAACCAGGTCAACTCACACCCAGTCTCTCACAAGCATTCATTCCATAAAAGTGGTTGACTAAAATGAATATGCACATATTGAGATCTTTTAATTCTTCTGGTTTTACCAAGAATTAGAAGTCTCTAGTTGTTGTTAAAATTTCATATTCTCAGAACATCATAGATATATCATGTTCATCTTTTCAAAATTACAAGAGACTTTTTCAAGCCATACCATCCTTTGTAACTATATGTAGGATTATTTTAATTTTAATGTTATTTTTTTAATTTAAGCAATTAAGTAAAACTTTTTTAAATTAAAAAATGACTTAATTTTTTAATAGGTTCAGCCTGTCACTCATTACACCATAAGAGTATATAAATTCTGTTTTCTCAACGTTATTTCCAAAAGGCTAAATCATTTCCAGTGTTACTGAGTAAACTTTGAGAACTTTACTAAAAATATGAAAACTAATAGAAAAATTAAGGTATTTTTATTTTAAAATTTAAAAAAAGTAATAATGATACTTTAATATAAAGTTTTTGTGATGGTAGTGTATTAGTCTTCATTTTCCTCAGACTATTACAATTAAAAATGGGAATTGGTGAGACCTGTGAATAATTTTAATGTTAAAAGGGAAAGATTTTTTTTTACTAGCACAAAAAGAGAGACACAAACATCAAAAAAAATTTCTTCTTGGAATGATCCTGTTTCTTTTTTTTTTTATGTAGTTTATTTATTTATTTATTTTATGTTCAGTTAGCCAACATATAGATCCTATTTCTGATGTTCTTTCTTGCCCTTCGGAAACTGTACGGCATTGAACCCTTTTTCTCTCTGAATATCTAAACATCGCCCTGTGGGGGTAGGTATAGCACTGGGCAACTCAGCAAACCTTCTAGGCCTGGGCAGAGACTTTTCAGTGGAAGAAACTGTCTGGGTAAAAGTGGTTGAGGAAATCAAGACCAGGCTTCTAATGGTTTTATTGCTGGCTGACTGGGTTATCTTGGGCCAGACATTTAATTTCGTGAATCTTAGGATTATATCTGTGAAACAGTGAGCTGGACCTACCCCTTCTATTTCATGAAGTACTTTGGGTTACATAAAAACAAGTCCATTCTAGAGAATCTGTCCAGAGCCTCAATTTTCGTATCTTTGACAGAATTGGACGGACTTACTTAGAAGCCTCTTTTATTTTGAACATGATCTAGTTCTATGCTCTAAGTTTATTATAGGAAATAGTTTCTCTTACTGCCTCACGTTGTAATAGAACATGAGAATAAATGGGAGATAGGCAAATATCCTGTTTTCTAAAGGGCACACCAAGGCTTCTCTGTACTTTTCTGAACTAAAGAATCAGAGTATTAGATCCTTCTTATGCAGCACTGTTCTGAATTCTGGCCCAGCTACCACTGTGGCAAACAGCTCCTCAGGGGTTTCAACAAACACAAACCAACAGCGCCTCTTGTGCTACCCATACCTCGGCCACGCTCTTCTCTAGGACTTCACCATGCACTCTGAGTGAAGCACAACAGACCACAGGCTCCATTTGGAGCCTACTCATATGCAGCCCGGAATTAACACCCCATTGTGGTAACAGATCAATTCTTCCTTTCTCCCCTGTATGAACTGCACTGAGGTGTACTAGTCCATCCCATCTCTCAGAGTACCCTGGAAGTCAGATGATCAGTTATGCTTCATACCAAGTGGTGGCCAATTTGGTATTTCACCCTGGTCTGGGCTCTCCCTCCTTTCTCATCTCACTCCCTTTTTCCCTCTTGCTTCCTTGGATATGCACTCCTAAGAAACAGCTACTCGTAGACTTTGGTCTCAAGCTCTGCTTTTTGAAGAACCTAGATGACAATTAGGAATGGTTTTCTGTATCCAAGCCATAACCATATGGACAAACTAAAGGGAATATTATGAATATTGTAATTAAGAATATCATAAGCATCTTTTTAAACTTTAAGCTCTAGAAATTGTATATTGTCCAAAGCAGAATCAAATAATTAGTGTTAGCCTAATTTAACATAAACGCCACAATTAAAACACTTATACAGTAAGTGTGTATTCTATTTGTTTACTTTTGGGTTAAGAGGTTACTCAGATTTTGGAAGAGGGAGTAAGTAGCATGGTCAGTGGAAACCAGGCATATTGAAGAACAGATCGGGGCGGGGGTGGGGGGTGCCTGGATGGCTCAGTTGTTAGGCGTCTGCCTTCAGCTCAGGTCATGATCCCAGGGTCCTGGGATCGAGCCCCGCATCGGGCTCCCTGCTTTGTGGGAAGCCTGCTTCTCCCTCTCCCACTCCCCCTGCTTGTGTTCCCTCTCTCGCTGTGTCTCTCGCTGTCAGATAAATAAAATCTTAAAAAAAAAAAAAAAAAAGAACAGACGGGAACAAGACTTTTCACTGAATACCTTTTTCTTAAAACTTTTTGCCTGTGTGAACATACTACCTATTTTAAACATTCATAAACGTAAGTGGGCCATTTACAATCAGCATGAAACAAAGATGTAAAACTATAAATTCATGATAGAATAACTACACTGATACTGCTCATGATTTTATCTCTGGCCTTGAAGAATTAAGCATCAGAATTTGAGAATGGAGAGCCTTAAATTATAATGAACAGGTGCACATAAACTGATACGAGTTGATACTTGATTTCATATTTATTTCATAACTTTCTCAGATTATAAAAATACTACATGCTGTCAAAAAAACCTGGAAAGTACCAAAAAGTACAAAGAAAATGAAAATCACCTGTAATTACATCACCAAGAGATTAAAAAAACAACAAACATTGGTGTATACACTTCTGGTCTTTTCTAAGCAATATACTACACATGTGTGTTATTTAAAGCCAACAGTAATTGTAAATTTCCAAAACTATTTCTTCTCACTGAAGAGAAATAACGAACAGTGGATGATTTCAATACTGTGAGCATGAGATTAGACATTTAACAGGCATTCAACCTTCATCTCCAATGCTGTGGAAGAGAGAGACACTCCCCCATTTTATAAAGAAGGAAACTGAAGATCTGAGAACTTGAGTATTAGTATGCCCAAAGGCTCACAGTTAAGAAGTGGCAAACCCTAATTAAAACCATGTCTGTCTATTCTAAATCCCTTGGTTTTTTCATATAGCAGGATGCTGCTCCTACCAACATTTAAAAAAAAAAAAAAGTGGTATGCAAAACCTAGATTATGCTATCACATATGTTGTATCAAATGGCAGAAATGCAAAAATCATATACAATTTGCTTTAAAAGTCAAAAAAAAAACTTCTGACCTTTCATTTCAGTAGTTGGAAAGTACTAATACCATTTTTTCATCCGGTAGAGCTTCTTGTCATCACCATTGTCACAGCTGAAAGGAAAATCAATACTACTGCTAGAATTTTATGGCATTAAAGAACTGAATTTAAAGGATGGTGCTGAGTGGAAAATCAATTAAATACAATTTCTTTAGGCATTTATGAAACTGCACATTTCTTGGACTTTGAGTTAGTTTCGTTTTTGAATTGACGGATCTTTTCTGGAAAAAATAGGATAACATTTATTATTAACAGCTAACATTTATTAAGCACTTGCTATGTGCCAGGCACTATGACTCAATCCCACAACAACCTTCGACAGACAATTTTCTAGTTAGTAAAGGAGAACACTGGCACAGTGAGGTTGAAGAACTTGCTCAAGATCACACTGCCATCAGCGCTAGAGGTCAGGGACGGGCCCACACTGCCTTGCTCCCGAGCATATCCCTGCACCACTTCAGGGGACTGCCTCTTACTCTCCCCTGAGAATTCGTACAGATGCAAATTTAAAGTTGAGGGAACAATCCCAGTGCTACGAAGATAATGTCATGGGAGGAGCCGTTATCCATGCACGATCCCTTGAAACGGAGTATTGGATCAGTGGTGTGATTCAGGCATTTATGCTCGGCTTCGGGTAAAACTGCATCGGTGAAAATAATGGCAGGTGTGCCTATATTTTGCTGAATAGTTATTATTGCATAAGAGTTATAGCACCCCCTAATTTATCGATCAGTTTTGAAAGCATCTTCCCTGACAGTACAGTCTTTGGGGCAAGTGATTTTCAGCAGTAACCTCAGCTGCCCAAGTAAAAGCCTGTCTATTCTTTTAACGTACAGATAACATTTTCGAATACATTAACTTGCAGATTTCCTCAACAGGGGCAAAATGGCCTTTTGAGCAAGACCATGCTTAGTTGTGGAAACTGTCTCTAACCTTAATTCCTGCCCTCTCCTGCTCCCCACACCCCACACACACCTCCACACCCTGCCACACATACACATCAACAGAAATCCTCCTCCACTTTTTCAAATGCCCAGTAGGGGGGTGACATAGAGAACTGCCCGGCTAACGTGGGATCAGTATCGACTGAGTATCGACTCACCAGAGGAGCTGCTTATTCTTTATGAGCCACCGTGCTCATCAGACGGAGTGCCGCTGTTAATGGACGGTATTGTTTCTGCGGACTGTCCCCCCACCATTTTAAGGGAGAAGGAGCTTCTGTCTTGAAAACTAACTCACCAGATAGTTCTGGGAAACCTGTGCGTACCAGCTCTTCATACAGATGCTTGACCGGAGTGGCCTGTGTCACATCAGGTTCCCATGCAGCCAGATGAGCAGAGCCTTGTGGCCGTGTTCACGGAAACTTCCCTTTCCTGTGCCACTTACGTACAGTCAGAGGCAAAACCCCACATGCTGATGTCTCTTTTTATTGTGATCTTAGTTCTCACTGAATTTTCTGTATGACTGTGGTTGTAACTCATTCCTCTTCTGATGGCTGTTACAGCCCAGTGGATGAAAGCCCTTCCAGTTCCCCTCACTGGAACTTCTTTAGGGTGACCAGAGTTTGGATTCTCTCCAGCACTTACCTTGCACCTACTGTGCTTGACACAGACCAAAAGAGCAGATAAGACATGAAGCAGCTGAGTCTCTGCCCAATGGTAAGGAACAAGCTGAGATGCAGAGCTCTCCTTCAACGTTCAGTTGGCACCGCTATGCACCACCATTTCTCACACTCATATTTCAATGGGGGATCCTGTTACAATGGACAGTCTCATGCAGTCTGCCTGCTAAGATCTGCACTTCTAATGAGCACCCAGATGCTGGTGTTGCTGTCTGTTAACCACATTATGAGCAGCAAACGTGTACCATCATGCTACTCCAGCTTCTGATGGAAGTATGCATCCCCTGGGCCAGGATTATTCACTGGATACCTAACCCCTGAGAGATGTTGGAGGGAAGTGCTGAGATGGGTCTCTCGCAACAGGAGTTCACAGTTAAAAACACAAAACAGGCTCCTAGTTCTAGCCAGTGTGTGTGGGAACAGGCAGATGCCACAAAAGGAGGGCCTAAGCTCTGGGGAGGAAGCTTGCTTGATAGACTGTTAAAGAAGTAGGTGTTTCAGGGAAAGGGAACTGTACCCATAAAGAACATACTCCTAGGTGAATCCTGTTCCTTTCCTGATCTTGCCCTTGCCAAACTAATTCTTCAGTACCACCATCAACGCGTCCCTCCTTTGCTTAAAAGCCCACAAACTCCTTAGTGCCAGTACCATTACGCTAGATTGTATTTGGATTGTGAATGTTGCTGTTACCATGCCAACTAGATTATAAATTCCACCAAATGTGCACCTTGGCTTATAGAGCGGTTGCATCCCTCACCTGGTAGAGCTAAACGCATTCTAGAGACTCCACGTTGTTTGACTAAAACACTTTAAATCCCCTTTATCCTGCTGGCAGGTACTCTGAAGATACAGTATATTTTCAAATCATTTCTTTAGGTCAGGAGAGATTTCCAGAAGGCAACTAAATTTTCCTAAAAACTTCACAGAATGTCATATGCCTAATTACTGACAAAGGAGAAAACTTAACAGTAAAAAAGAAATCTTTTCAGAAACTATAGTCAATATTCAACATTTTCAATGCATTATCTTCCATAATGTAGCCATAGAATTAGCAATAGAAAGTGCCATGATTTACTTTTATTTGAGGTAAATAGCACGTATTCATGGGCTGTGGTTTTGCCATCTACAGTCCCAGCAATCAGTAACGCAAATCAACCCCTGAGCATGGGACTTGTTCACATCTCATAATATCCATGTAAGGAAAGTGCTCTGAATAGAATGTTTTGCCAAGAAAAGTGTCTGCTTCCTTGTTTTTAAAGCTAATTAGCTGATTAATGCCAAACACACTTTATTTCCTAAGTTTTGGTCAAATCATAAAAAAGCAAAGCTAATGACTCCAGCTGACCTGACCTCACTAATTTTGACAGCTGGAGTCTGGCTGAATTGATTCCATGGCTTGGGATCTTCTACTCGGGAGAGCCCTGAGTTTGTCTCCCACATCTCTCATGGGACAGCTGGTCTCACCCAAGGCTGCATCCTACAAGAACTCTATACCCAGATGTGGCTTGGATTCCTCCTGGAGTAGAAGCCCTAAACAGTGAGCCTTTTGTTAGAGGATGAACCTTTTCACCCCAAGACAATCTCAAGGAACACTACGAGAGGTTGGTTTCCCAGGGACAAGCCAACTGTTAAGTCCTTGCTTCCTTAGTGCCTATTCAGTTGGGAACCTTCATTTCCTTAAAGGGTAAATGCCAACTTTTCAATATGGCTCAATAAAAAGTAATTATCCTTTGCAAACTTCAGTTTATTGCAGAGTCCATGAAGGTTCATGGTTTGCAAAGTTCTCAATCATCTTTGTGGTCTTAAGCTAAGTGTCCCAATTCCTGGGCCCTTGTAGTCTGCTGCTTGTCGTGAGCACCAACCACTTCCTTGGAAGATCTGCCACCAGGAAGAACTGCTCCTTCCTGTCTGCATTATCTAGGCCATGCTCACCTGACCGCTGCTCCTCAATGGCTCTGATCTGGTCATCTGTAAAGTTCTATGAACGGGCCAGCTTCTGCCACTCATTGGCCTTTAGCTGATGGTAAGCCAGGTTCCAGAGAAGACTGCAAATATGTCTGGTCTCCAAACTGTGATCTTGCTTGAATGTCAAAGTAAAGCTGGTTGATGGGTCCCTGATGCTCTCACCATGCTCCTAAATTAAAGGTAACTACGTCAGACAATTCCAGACATTTTCTGCTTATCGCCTTATTTCATGGTATGTACACGGTTGTCCAGATGTATGAGGTACGATGGTCCCCAAGACTTACGTTTTCAGTATTATCTGTATCTGGATCACTTTTCGTCACTCAGGATGGAGACAGATGTCTGAAATGAAAAGCTTGAGTACTATCTGTCTGACACAGGAAATGTGAGGGGGTTTGTCATGTCGTATGCTTCTATCCCAGCTTGCTGATGTTTATTTACTCGCCCAACAGAAAACAGAGGGGGTGCCTTAGCTAAGGAAATGTCACAACAATAAATTCATCTTTGAAGTCCTTACTTTCAGCCAATATCCCCTGTTCTTCTTGTGTGTGTTTGATTTTCTCATATCAAAGATTCAGAGGGGCGCCTGGGTGGCTCAGTCATTGAGCGTCTGCCTTCAGCTCAGGTCATGATCCCAGGGTCCTGGGATCGAGCCCCGCGTCGGGCTCCCTGCTTGGCGGGGAGCCTGCTTCTCCCTCTCCCACTCCCCCTGCTTGTGTTCCCTCTCTCGCTGTGTCTCTCTCTGTCAAATAAATAAATAAAAACTTAAAAAAAAAAAAAAAAAGATTCAGAGAGGCCCAGATTGGATATACTCTTAGAAAGACCCCAAAGCTGATGCCTCCACTCATCCTGCTCTCTGGTGTGAGGAGAGCAAAGTAGAAGCCTACTCTGGGGGCCAAAAGAATGGAGAGGACAGGGGTTGATAGAGTTTTAAGTCACTGCAGCCAGGCTTAGTCCAAATGCCCTGTGCCTGGACTGATAATCTTGTTTTCTCAGTTTTCCAAGGTTCCTTTTGTCCCTTCTGCAGAATCCAGCCAAAGAAACTGGAGAAAAATCTCAAAGTGAAAGCAGGTGTCGTGGTTTCCTAGAGCTGCACCTGCTGTACGTGCTGTCAGGCCTCCAGATCACCGTCCTTCGGGAGGCTGCAGATCAGTTAAGGACACACAGGACACACAGCCCAAGAGAATTGGGACTTACGATCTACTCTCCTTTTTTATATATGGCAACTCCTATTTTTGTCTTTCACTTAATTAAAAATGAATCTTAATGAAAGATAATCTGAACAGCAAGACAGGAGTCCATGCTGGGGCAGGAAGTGGACTAAAATGATACGGGCACCTGGTTGCCAAAACCTGAGAAGAACGTGGTGGGGCTTGCACCTCCGCCCCCACCACAGAGCAGTCTTTGTCTTTCATAGCATCTGCAGTCTCCTCGGAAGGTCTCCAACCTCCTGGGAAGTATGCCCAAGGAGACGGGCCAGTATTTTCTCTAGTATCTGGACCTTGTGAAAAGAAGTTGGACTAGGAATGGGAGATATAAATTACCCGTAATTGTTTCAGAGGTTGTAAAAGGCAGGCAGGGTCTACCCTGTCCCAACCTTAGCTTTACTCCCGCAGTGCCTAACTCCCAGGGAGTCCTGAAAGAGGAAAGGCTGAGGGTGAGGGATCCCACAAACTTGGGAGCCGTGGCCACTTCACTTTTTCCTTTTCTCTTCATTCCCTCTCCTGAAACAGTGAGGATTCCAACAAGAACAAAACCTGAAACACCACAAGATAGAGGGAAGAACTGCAAAATGCATTAACTTTTGCACCACAGCATTTTTATTTCTTTGAGAAACACACATGCTTTGCATTCCAGGATTGGGCTGGGTGGTCCTTCAGGCTTCCAGAGGAAAGGGTCATGGATTTGGAAAGCCCAGGTCTTTTTCAGCAGTTCAGAGAACCATTAATAGTTTGTCTGCCAAAGCACTTATCATATGCCAAAACTGGTGGAAATTAAAATAGCATAAGCCAGATTTTAGGAAGCTTCCCATTTGCCTCTGAACCACTGGATTTAATGATGGATATAAGAGAGGAAATTTCAATCCTCTCTTTAATGTTCTTTATTAGGAATCATTTTATATTAGGCCAGGATATAAATTTGTTAAATAAAGAGAATTTGAAATCATAATAAATGCATTTGGTTAAAAAAAGATATAATTGTTTAATGAACAAAGTGAACTTAAAGTAAGTAATAAATAGGGGCGCCTGGGTGGCACAGTCGGTTAAGCGGCCAACTCTTGGTTTCAACTCAGGTGGTGATCTCAGGGTTCTGGGATTGAGTTGCCCTCAGCTCCGAGTCGGCTTGAGTTTCTCTCTTCCTATCCCTCTGCCCCTACCCTCCGCATGCTCTCTCTCTAAAATAAATGAATAAATCTTTGAAATAAAATAAGTAATAAATATATTTGGTTAAAAACATTTAAGAATATATATTAAAAAACAAGCCTTCCTCCCACTCCAGATGTCGGTCCCCAGTGGTCACCAAGGTTAACAACTCTCATTTCTGAGGGTCTCCTTCATACGTTTATATATTGTATAGGATTCCCAAAGTTCATCTAACTCTCACATCTCAAAGATTTGTTAGGAAAAAGGGCTTATTCATTTGGTGGAAAAGTAATTTATTCTCCTCTAGGAAAAAGAATCTAAAAATGCTAGCAGACATTAAAAATAGAACCAATGAATATTTCTATTTTCAAAGAAAACGTGAAAATAGTCACTTAAAAAGCAAGAGAAAATGTGGAAGTTGGGAAGGTTACCTTCAATCAAATACGGTGATGATCTAAGAAAATGAGAATGAAGCTAAGGCCAAGAAGAAGAGAATGAAGGAGCAGGAGGAACAAAAATCAACTAGGAGGAGGAGAGAGAACTTTAATGGTCATAAAAATGTTGTTTTGTTTTACGGACAAGAAACATTTGAGGAGGATGGTGTGGACTTCAAATGAAATATATGTCATATCATCCAGATATATATATCAGGACTGCAGAGCCAATTAAATAGGATTGTGAGCAAGAAGGAGGCAAATCAATGCATTTTGCCTTAAGGATTTAAGGGAAATTTCTCAGGATTGGCAAATGAGACCACAAACCAGGCCTGAGGCTCCTCAGGGGTAAACACCTGAGGGTTAGGACCTGAATTCTGGCACCAACCTACTGGACTAGGGGGGCCATTCAGCCTAGGATGGCAACAACCCAAAGTAGAAACTGAGTGTGGTGCCCAGTAATGCAAATCCTGCCTGAGGGCTTAGATTTCGATGTTGGAGGGAAGGGCATTCTGTTGTGAAGCTGTATGCGTGGCAGCTATCAGAGGAAGTAATAATGAAAGAAGGCAGAGAGAATGTCTTGGCAAGTTTTCTGTGTTCTCAAGATGAATAAGGTTTTTGTGACTATCACAGGATACTTGAGTAGCAGCCAGCACCACGGTGTGTTGAAAACAGCAAAGCCATGAACATAAACTTCTTTATCACTCATTAGAATGATGAGAACTTTGGTTTGTCCTGAGGGTTCTAGAGGGGAGGGGGGATGGGGGGATGGGTTAGCCCAGTGGTGGGTATTAAAGAGGGCACGTTCTGCGTGGAGCACTGGGTGTTATACGCAAACAATGAATCATGGAACACTGCATCAAAAACTAATGATGTAATGTATGGTGATGAACATAACATAAAAAAAAAAGAATGATAAGAACTTTGGGTTTGAGAACTTCCAGAAGGTACCAGAGCCAGACCCCATGACAGAGGGCACAACCTGGGAGCCAGCTATGCGGGGCCAGTTAGAGCCGACACGAGCCAGCCTGCTTAGCCCAATGAGCTCTACACACCTCAGTTCTGACTCCTGAAGCTGGCAAAGGAGAGGCGGGGAGGAAGCAGCAGCTGTTCATTCCATGAATGGAGCAGCACAGGCCAAAAGGACAGTTATAATTTGACCAGGACCCTGCCCATTAGAGCAGAAAAAAGAACTACACAAACCCCACACTGCCCATAAGAAGATGGTGGTTGCAGAAGAGCCCACTGCTGAGCTGGAACCATGCTTCCTTACCTCTTTCCAGGCATAGTATCTCTCTGCTTTAATGATCATGTCCACAACAAGGCTGTGGTTGCTCCTGGAGGCCACGGCCATGGCAGTCTTCCCTTGCTAAAAGGTAAAAATGAAAGTGTCAGGCAGTATGGCCTAGTGTTCAGGAGCTCCAGTTTTGGAACAGGGGGACCTGCATTCAAATCCTGATCCTACTGCTTCCTCGCACTTGGGAACTTGGGCCAGTCCTTAGCTCCTCTAGGTCTCAAAGACTACCCCATGGTGTAGTGGTGAGGTGTAAATGTGATAATTCATATCAAGCCCTTAGGACTGTGTGTGGCACATGGTAATTATTCAAGAGGTCCTAGGTATTGGTAGTGTCAGGTGCTGTGTCAACAGGGCAGGGGAAAAGATTTGGGCTTAGGAACTGACCATCAACAGATGATATTTTACACATGCTCTATCAGTGAGAATCCAAACATTTCTCCAAGACCCCTGGGCGGGGGTCTCCCTGGCTCACTGCACTGGGTGGGGAGTCCTCGGCAAATAAATAATATGATTACACATTTTTCTACTCAGGGCTGACTCTACCTGTAGCTGAGACTTTAGTCAGTGTGCCATGCTTCCTTCCCCCAATAGCCTTTTCCTCCTTCTATGGGAAAAGACCTCCCGATTTTAGCTAGGCACTTGGCCACTCCAAACATTTCCTAGCCTCCCTTGCACTTAGATATGTGACCTAAATTTTGGTATATAAACGGAAGTGCACATGCAATTTCTGGGAAGTAATTTTAAAGACAGGAAGGATGTTATTCTCCTTCCTTTCCTCCTCCTCCTGAGCAGAATGCTAGCATGATGGCAGGAGCTTCAACAGCCATCTTAGACCAAGAAGTTGAAGCCATGTGTTGTGGAGAGTAGAAAATAAGACAGAAAATGCTGGTTCTCATTGAGAATAGTAATATCCATGACAACACTTCTAATTCATAGTACAGAATTCAGCTCACTAGACTCCTACCTAGAATTTTTTTTCTATTATACTGCCTCTAACCAAGGGTGAGGAATAGGAAACTTAACCAAATGGAATGAGCAATAAAGGATATTCTGGACATAATTTTGGGCATGAGTGGCCTGGGATCCCATCTGGTATCTTATACAAATTACAAAAGGCACACCTTTGTCAAGATCAATATAGCTCAAAGCTACAGCACACAGCTTTACAAGTAACGTGCCCTAGATTTTAGGCAGTGTACAATCTGCATATCTATACATTTCTTTTCCTGAGCAAAAGATGGTGTTTTTCATCTATTTTTTAAATGGCACGTTAAAAATTTGCTCAGGGATCCTGAAGGTAAAATGAATGTCAGAAATAATCCCACAAAAAGCTCTTAGCAACCCATGTCTCTATGCTTAGGGATCTAGCAATTTATCCCAGTAATTCTCTCACATGGCTGAGCAAGTACAACTCCCACCAACCCAAATGATCTGGCTGTTAGTGGAGGTGCTAAGACCCAGGTGGGCCAGAAGGTTAGGGCTGACAGTTACCAGTTTCTAGTCAAAAGAGACAGTAATGAATTAGGAAGAACTGTGCTCTGCAGGCAGTTAGCAAGTCCTTCATTGCCGGCGGCCTGAATTCTGGCTTAAGAAGCCATCTGAGTAACCGTGATTAGGAGCATTCAGCTTCAGCCAGCGTTCTCAAGTTCCTAGGAAAACATTCCCAGGGAGTGTGCCATGGAGTGGAAACCCAAATAATCCTTCCGCTGATGGGGGGAATCCCTCCAGGAGCTTGGTGACACCTCCGACTGAGAGAACAGGTTTCTGGGAAAGTCATATTCACACCAAACCCTGGCTCCTTTTTCCCAACCCACTCTGATTCACTCTTACAGCCATTTATCCTTGGTAAAAATGGTGGGAGTGAGTAGAAAAGGTAGTTTTTATTACTTAACTAATTAGGTGTTGGGGGCCAATCATGTGCCAGGCCCAGAGAAGAAAGGGAGGAGGAGAAGGGAAAAATGGGAAAATCAAATTGTGAGTCAAGTTACAGCACTGACGGCATTTGCCAGGACATCCAGTCCACTAGCACTGGGGGCCCAGCATGAATTCCCTTCCCAATGCTACAGGCTCTTCACCTACAAGACTGCCCCAGAGGGGTTAAGTATTAATGAGAAAGTGGAATCAAGTAGGAAGAGAAAGCATGGGAAAATATGAATGTGAACTGTTAATACTAACGCCAAATGTTAAGGGCCAGTAACAAGCCACAATGGCGGAAGTGGTGTAATTCCACCCATGTGACAGAGTTATGGGTGGTTGCGCTGGACAGCGCTGGACAACCAACAAGCAGCCTTGGCTTTGAAGCCTGGCTCTGCGTCTTACTGTGCGTGTGACCCTTGATATCATTGAAATCTCTTGGAAACTGGGATAATTTTGCCCACCCCACAGAACAGATGTGAGGAATGAAATAAGATGCACATGGGTGAGCACCTGACAGGACTGCCATACCTTGGTCTCCTGTGTTTACGCTTTTCAGTAAGCTGGAACCTAGCGGACGACGGCCCCGCAACCTGGAGCCCACCTTACTGCATCACTTAAAAAAAACAAAGTTGTCTTTCTTTAAAAACAAGTCTACACAATGCCCAAAAGGTGGAAGCAACCCAACGTCTGTCCACAGATGCAAGGATAAACAAAATGTGGTCTATACACAGTGGAATATCCTTCGTCCTTAAAAAGGAAGGATATTCTGACACACACTACAACACGGATAAACCTTGAGGACATTATGCTACATGAAATAAGCCAGTCACAAAATGACAAACACAGTATGATTCTATTTATATGAGGTACCCAGAATAGTCAAATTCGTGGAAACAGAAAATAAAGTGGTGGTTGCCAGGGACTGGGAAAGGAGGAGGAAATGGGTAGTTGCTGTTCAGAGTTTCAGTTTGCCAAGAGGAAAAAGTTCTGGAGATTGGTTGCATAACAGCGTTAACAGACTTAACACTACTGAACTGTACACTTAAAAATGGTTAAGATGAGGGACGCCTGGGTGGCTCAGTCGGTTAGGCATCTGCCTTCGGCTCGGGTCATGGTTGGGGTCCTGGGATCAAGTCCCACATTGGGCTCCTTGCTCGGCGGGGAGCCTGCTTCTCCCTCTGCCTGCCTCTCTCCCTGCTTGTGCTCTGTCTCTCTCTGACAAATAAATAAATAAAATCTTTTAAAAAAAATGGTTAAGATGATAAATTTTATGTTATATTTATTTTACAATTAAAGAATTTTTAAGTAAGAGCAAGTTTAGACATGTGTATGTTTGTTCATTGCAGCTCTGCTTATAACAGCAAAAGCTTAGGAACAATTCAAATGCCCATTGGCTGGGAACTAAACAAATTATGATATGTCCATGCCACAGTCTATTGTGCAGCTATATAAAGAAGAATGAAGAAACTCTCCTTGTACTAATATGGAAGTTTCCACTTTATATACTTAAAGGAGAAAAGCTAAATGCAGGACAATATGGAGAAGTACATCACCACAATGTAAAAAGGATGGACGAATATGGTAAGAGTATAATATATTTATGTTTGCTTGTTTATGCATAAAGAAACTGGAAAGAACTAAGAAACTGATGACAATAGATCCGTGTGGCAAGAGTAGTGTGGGAACTGGACAACTAGGGTCAGGAGTGGGTGGGACATTTTTATTGTAAAACCTTTACTGATTATGTGTTTTTAATTTTTGGACCACATGAATCTATCATCTTTCCCAAATTAATAAATAATTTTAATTTTTAAGAAATACATATTTTATTATTCAGAGTAAAATATCTTACCTACATACCTCAATTGAAATCAGGATGTTTTACTGATTGCCAGGACAAAAGGTTTCTCCAATGTGTGTCCATCTCCCACAAGAGGTATGCTAAGGCTTACAGCCAACAGGAAGTTCTTCACAACCATCTCTGCTGAACACAGTGAAGGCCATGATCTTACCTTATCAACATTCAGGTCACAGCCTGCCTTCAGCAAGGTTTCCACCAGTTCCACATTGCCAAGATCAGCAGCAACATGCAAAGGAGTCTGCTGCCTCTGCCACGAGAAATTTCAAAAATGTAATCTAAACACATTAAGGAGGGGGGAAAAACTTACATAATGAAAAGACACAGGGAATGCAGAGGTGTCCTATATGGGCATAAGGGAAAATAGATTAAGATCACATTTTTATTTTATTTAATTTTTTTAATATTCTATCTATTCATTTGAGGGAGAGAGAGAGAGCACGAGAAGGGGGGAGGTACAGAGGGAGAAACAGGCTCCCCACTGAGCAGGGAGCCAAACCCAGGGCTCGATCCTAGGACCCTGAGATCATAACCTGAGCCGAAGGCAGACGCTTAACGACTGAGCCACCCAGGCGCCCCAAGATCATACTGTTACATAGGTACAGGGGACATTCACTGCAGTGTTATTTTTAACAGTGAAAAACTGAAAGGAAGTTGCATGTTTCACTAGGAGACTCATTTGATAAATTATGGTATATCCAAATGCTGGATTAGTAAGCAACAATTAAAAATGATTTTTAAAAGATTTCAATATGAGATACTAGAATAGTAAAGTTCATAGAGACAGAAAGTAGAGTTGTGGTTACCAGGAACTGTGGGGAGGGGAGAATGGGGAGTTAGTGTTTAATGAGTACAGAGTTTCAGTTTGGGAAGATGGAAAAGTTCTAGAGATGGATGGTGGCCATAGTTGCTCAACAATGTGAATGTACTTAATGCCAACGAACTGTACATTTAAAAATGGTGAAATTTCTTTCTGGGTTAATCATTTTCTTACCAAGAGGATAACAGTGTTTTAAAGAAGTATACAAAATCACAAGAAAGTCACCCACTTTAACCTTTCACTGAAAGGATATGTTAATGTGCAGATATTTCTAAAATATTAGTACTGAAAGGAACGCTATTTTATGGTCTAGGCCAACCCTTAAACCAGAGAGAGGAAGCAACTTCCCCAGAGTCACACAGCTGGGCAATAGCATCTAGCTCAGTACTCTTCCAACCAGAGCACAAGGCCAACCTGCTTGGGGCATTAGCATAATGAATATCAGAAAGCATTTATTAAAGACTCACTTTTGGGTGGCAATGTGCCCCTCTGGGGGCTCATTGAAAACATCACACTTAAATGACAAACTATCAAAGGTCTATATCAACATGGAACAGAGATACAAGTGTCATACATCAAATACCAATAACATTTCATTGCGACGATACTGCTCTAAGTCTAAAAGGCAGGAAATGAACCAAAATATTAACAAGAGTTGTCTTTCTTTGGGGGGGAATTACAAACAAATGTAAGTTTTTACCTTATTTACATTTTCTTATTGTTATACATTGAGTGTATTCCCAATATAACAGAAAATTGAAATGATAAAGTCTAATTCTGTAACGGGGGGGGGCGCAGACTAATAAACCCTCCTTCTCTGGAGTGAATCTAGCCAATTCTGGTGAAACCAAAATCCTATGTGAGTTCTGTGTATGGAACAAAGATTCTCCTCATTTGGAAATATTTGGGGCATTAACAGACTCGGACACATAAGTATATATAATAACAAAAAGGTCCTCCCCCGCCTCCCCCAAACGTTTGGGATAGTGGAACACAGGGAGGAAGTGTGGGGGAAGAAAGGGACGAAGTGTAGATAAGTGTCCATTCTGCTCCCACACAAAGGAACTCCTAGGTTGGAGATGGGGTGCTCTGGGTTCCCGGGATTCGCAAGCTGCGGGCCACCCAGCGGGTTAGGACAGGGTTAGGACAGGCATGCACACCAGTGTGCATCTGGCCGCTCCCTCCTCTCAGGGCGCAGGCTGAGGCTTCTGTAGGGAGAGGCAGAAAGGCAAGAGGTGTCCAGAGTTCTCATCTGTCGCCAGGGTTCCAGAAGGGCTCCACCCCCCAGGAGTTTCTCTTCCTACTCCCTACAGCTCTTGGGAGAGGCAGCTCAGCCCCAGAGTTGACCCTGATTCACACAGTGCCCACTCCCATCCTCTTAATCTTCCACCTCAGCATTTGCATTTCCAGCCAGTGATGGATTCCTTTTACGGGGCATTTGATTCTGCTCCACTGGATTGAATGGTGATTTTTTTATTATTATTATTATTCAAAGAGGTCTCTTTTGCCTTTGGGTAAAAGGAAGACACATTTACAGTCTCTAATATAGAAACAAAGCTTCCTCCTTGTGGCAAAGGGCTACCACCAGCCAATTATATTTCATACTGAGGGAGTGGCTTTTGATTTAAAGAGCCGTTGGCGATTTACCTCTGAGCTACTGTTTATCTATCAGAGGTGCTGGGACTGTTAAGTGCAAACAGGTTTAAGAATGCACTAGCTGAACCCCAGTTGTGTGTTTGAAAAAGTATGCGTGTGCAAGTAGGAGTGGGGGTCACAGAAGAAAAGGGATAAAGAAAATATGTATATTCCACCTGGAAATTTTTAGGGTACCTTGAAGTTGTTCAAAACTACCCCTAACCACACGATGCATTGAATCATAAGAAAACAGACTCTCCAGGTTCTGATATACCTGGCTTACCTGATTTAAGATGCCAGTGTTGTGCTGTGCACTTAATAAGCTATTCACAACTGGGATATGGTTGTTGATAACAGCTAAATGAAGAGGGGAGTCCTTTGGCTGCAGAAAGAAAGAGAAAGAAAATTTCAAATCCAAAAGATTCTGGCTTCATCATTCAGACCAAAAAGCAATTCATTTTGACAGAGATGTCCTGATAATCTCCTAGTACTGGAACTGCCCAGCACAGCAGCAGGTCAGTAGCAAGTGTTCAGCATCATTTCCATCCCAAGGTTGTGCTCTCCTCCTTCATTTGTTCTAGAACTATATGCTGAACACCTACTATGGGCCAGGCTCTCTTCAGGAGGTTAAGGATTCAGTGGTAAACATGGCCCATTCTCAGGAATCTTCCAATCTAGTGGGGTAAGAAAATATTAATTTTTTTTTTAAATCACAAAACATACAAATTGTGAAAAGTGTTTTGGAGGAAAAGGAGAGTGGCAGGAGAGCATATGTGGGATGGGCAGATGGCTAACCTTTCTGAAGATGAAAAAAAAAGCCTTCCTGAAGAACTGACACTTTCACTTAGATAAGAATGATAAGAAATATGAAATAGGCTTAACTGCAGGACTTCTCAGGGCCTTCTAAGACATAAATTATGGTGGGCATAGCTACAAGGCTATGCGGAAAAGGCATGCACATTCAGCAATTCCTGAGCTGATGTGACTTAGAGCTCTTTCTCCCCAGAGCACTCTGTGGGACTAATGCCCCACTCACCCAGGGACACCATTCTCGTGTGTAGCCCTCCCGTGTAGATAGAGTAGACAGCCGCAGGATGTTCACCAAATCCCTCCAGCCTGCTCCCCTTTCCTCCTCACTTGCGGTTAAACTGCCTGTCCTACAGCCTCACCCTCACTCACCTGGAGTGTCCCAGCCGCTCTCAGCCAGCCCCACAGGCAGGCTTCTTTCCCAGCCCCACCAGGTGGCCATGACCACCTCTAGGACCCCACGCTTAGCTCCTGCTGCTTCACCACCACCCCACAGCCGCTGGCACATGGAGGCCCTAGAGAGATGTCTCCAGGGGTACTGAAGGCAGCCGAAAAGAAAAAAAGGTGGGGAGAAAGGGGTTAGGTGTGAGAGTGAGCTAAGGGGCAGTCAGGGTGGAGGGAAGGCAGTGGGTGGCAAGGGGAGGGGGTGCGCGTGTGAAAGAGCAGGGCGCTCAGGGGATCCAGGGAGGCCATGCACAGAAGGCGAGCTGAGCGCCAAGGCAGGTATGTGCGAGGGCAGGTGATGGGGACAGAGGGCAGGGTTGCTCAGGGGAAAGAGATATCAATAATAAGCACCAGGTAGGCACATGGAACATATTTTTATAATTCTACTTAATGCATACTCACTTCCCCAACAGTTTATACTCTGTTTTAAACTCTGGGCTAATAGTTTTCATTCACAATAACCCTAGCAGTTAGATCTTCTATTCCCCACTTTATACACGAGGCAAAGGGCCGTTCCATAACTTCCACAAGGCCTTGGAGCCAGGAAGTGGCAGAGACAGGATTCGAACCCCTATCCAACAACCTGACTCTAACACTGGCACCAGGCTCCTTCCCAGGAAACCTACTGGGAAAGAAACCTATGGAAGAGAGACGTACTGAGTGTGCAAGAGCCGCACCAGGACACAGAGGAAGAGGAGAAGAGGGGGTGGTAGGACTCCACAACTGCATAGGTCAGGCTGCCACAGGCATGAACAAGGAAATGGACATGCTGGGACTGGTTGGGGCAGGGTGGCAGGAAGGCTTTCTGTGCAGGCCTCTTCTACTCAGGAAGAATGTTCTCTCTTGAGGCACCAAGCATGAAAAAAGAGAAAGCATCCGTTGGCCCAGGGAAGTGGGCAATGTTCTTCCTGCCGGGGCCACCGGCCTTGCTGGGACCCAACTGCCCCTCCCCCCCCCCACCCAAGAAACAGGAAGCATCCTTGGATAGACCAGGTGAGTTCAGAGCCAATTCCCTAACGTTGTTCTCCAAAAACTACCAGATGTGATCAAATCACATCCCTTCTCTCCAGTTCATATAATAAATAGTAATGGCTAAGCAAGATCAGAGGAAATAACATTCTCACGGGAGAAATGAAAATAGGGTGAAAAATAGAGGAATGTTTTCCATCTAATTTCAGCACAGAGGGCCTTTGTTAATGCTACCAAAGCCAACTCAAACTTCAGAAAACCTAAATCAGTAAAAAGAATTGACTTTCAAAAAAAACAAGATCACTCGGTAAAGAGGGGGAACATGATCATTCTCCCTTCCACTTATAGCAGTGTCCTTTTTTTCCCAGACTGATAGATTTAATACAAGAATAAAAGCATCTCTAGACACCTGAGAAAGTTTTATTGCAGCAAATATCAATATTTAAAACACAAAGAATTCATTTTGTTCCGGAACTTCAGTGACTTTCTAAAATTCATCCCTTGGATTTTATTTCTCAAAATTAAGACTCAGTCTCCAAAAGAAGTCAGTCAGCTTTCCCAGAAAGAGTTCCTCCTTTGTGAACATCTAATCCCCCCAAAGTATCTGCAAGGAGCATCTCCCCACACAGCCAGCCTCACGGCACCAGGATCAAAGTCCATGTTACTAGAATAGACTCACCTCTGCGTTCTGGTGCAGATCAACATTCTCACTGAGAAGAGAGCTGACAAGGGATGTATGGCCATTCTGGGTTGCCATCTGCAAAGCACTGATGTTGAGCTGCAAGACACAGGTGGAAAGGGCAAGGAGGACCCCCATTACAATCCAGCATGCTTTCTGGTATTCATCACGTGGTAATTAATTAATACAGTGAAGCAGAACAACAATTTAAGAAATAAAATCCAATGTGTTTTGATTATTTTGAGGGCCTCTTTTTTATTTCCCCTAAGTGTTTCCCATAGGAGTGAGAGTCCCAGGTAACACATGCCTCAGGCAAATATGAGCTAAATCCCTGTTTCCCTTCTCTAAGAAGTACAGAGTGGACAAGAGCCAAGTCTTCTCTCCATACACCCTGCAAAACCCCCCCTTGAACCAAAACGGCTGATTGATTAATTTTAAGATTGCTATCAGGTGTTTCTAGGTCCACCAAACAAGGTTCTATAGGATGTAACATTTTCCCAAAAATGGCTGCATAAGTAACTGCCATCTCACGTGCCCGTCTGCAATGTGAGCCTTCCACTCCCCCAACACGAGGTCTACCCTTGCATCTGGGTGGACCCTGTGAGTGCTCGGACCGATCAACAGAGTACGGCAGAAGGGACAGTGTGTCAGTGGCAGGTGTAGCCGCTAACCGGCCGGGCAGCTTCTGCTTCCTGCCTATTAAAAACCAGCTGCCAGGCTGGGAGAAGAGAGACCACACGTCAGTGCTGTTCCGCAGCCCGAGCTGAGCTCCCAGCTGACAGCTGCCACCAACTGCGGGGCACGGGAGCGAGCCACCGGCGACGTCCGGCTCACTTAAGCTTTCAAATGCCCGAAGTCTGGGCTGACACCTGACTGTGACTACATAACACACCCGAAGTAAGAATCTCTCCGCGCAGCCCAAGCCCCCAAGCCGTGAGCGGTAGATAATAGCGTGTTGTCGGCTCAAGCCACTGCACTTCCGGTAGGTTTCTTATGAAGCAACAGATAAGATGCTCCTAAGAACAGTACACGCACTGACCACCTGGACTCTAGCTTGAGCTGCTACTAAATGTGTCTATAGCCCTGGATAAGTGACTTCTCAAGTACAGGCCTCTTTGTCTTCATCCATAAAAAAGGACCTAACTACCTGTATTAGTTTTTATTGCTGCTAATAACAAATTGCCACAAACTCAGTGGCTTAAACAATACAAATGTATTATGTTACAATTCTGGAAGTCCGAAGTGTGAAATGGGTCTCACTGGGCTAAAATTAAGGCCTTTCTGGAGGCCCTCAGGAAAATCCACTTCTTTGACTTTTCCAGTTTGTGGAAGCTGCCCACACTCATGGCCCCTCCTTCCAACTTCTAAGCCAGCTAAGTCCTTCTCACCCTGCATCGCTCTGACCTCCTCACCTGCCTTCCTCTTCTGCTTTAAAATACCTTTGTGAGTACACTGGGCCCGCCTGGATAATTGAGGATAATCTCATTTTAAGGTCAGATGATTAGCAACCTTAATTCCATGCACAACCTAAATTCCACTTTGCCTTGTAACATGACATCTTCACAAGTTCCAAGGATTAGGATGTGGACCCCCTTGGGGTGGAGCATTATTCTGTTTACCACACCATCATACCTCTTTTTCTCAAGCCATAGTAATATTGGGAGAATAAATGAGCTAGTAAATATGTACAGTAGTCATAACTATCATATTATTCATTTCACACACACACACCAAAAACAAACACAAAAACTTGAGCACTCATCATGTGCCAGGCACTATGTTAGATAGTGGGGAAATAGGATGGTAAATAAGATCTCCACTAGTACATTCCAGCAGAGGTGGACAATCAGTAGACCTAGAGACTGGCAGACAGATCAATCAATCAGTAGACTGAGAATAAATCTATTTACTAGATCTAGATGTTATGAGAATAATAACAGCTCATACTAAGTGCAACAACACAAAGTAAAACAGCAGGACTGGATGGCTACTTTCCAGTGAGTGATCAAGAAAATCCTCTAGGAGAGGGTAACATCAGGGCTGAGATCAGAATGGTAAGAAGTGCCCCCTCCAATGAGAAGATCTGAATCAGAAGCAAGTTTGCGTAGAACCCAAAGCCAGGAGGTAGTGGGAAGAGCTGTGAGAGTCTAGCATCTTACCCCGGGGGCACCATCAACACTGAGTTAGGGCCTACAGACTTTTTAAGAGCCAAAGAAATGTTTAAAACCTTTACCAAAAAAATTATTGATTCCAAGATACCCAAAGAAAAGCGTGAAATTGAAGTGAATAAATATTTAATTGACATATTCATACTTCATTGATTGTTAAATGTAATAGTCGTAAAATATTCATTACATTTGTAAACAATTTGTAGGTTAAATTTTTTCACCTCTTCAAATTCCCAAGTATACACAGAGTTCTTACAAACCAGAGTCAATCATAAATTAGGGGAGTTTATCATAACGAAATAATTATGAAAGCACCAATTAAAAAGCCTTTTAAAATAATTTACAGCAAAAACAATTTTTTAATGTGGAATGTTGGGGCATTTAAATATGTTTGATAAGATGTAAGGGTAGGGCCTCCAGAAAGCAGTTGTTAGCATCTACAAAAGTCTTCCCTGGACCAGGGGCATTTAGTACGACCCTGAAGAGAACCTACAGCCCAAACTCTGGACAGCATAACATCCAGCACAAGTGGAGGAAGCCTCTGCTGTCAGCTAAATCCAATAATCTCCAATTACCTTCCCAGAAATGGCTCAATCCTTTACCCCTTCCCCTTAGTTGGGGGTTAGGGCACAAAAGCAATCTCCTGGACAGCAAGAAAAATCACTGTCAAGAGGTGAAGCATTTCCAAGATCGAACACAGTAATCACCTACAGATGTAAGAGCAAAATAAGCCTAACGTGTCCCCCCAGTAATTTGTCCATGCTGCTGGTTTCTTGTTGCACACCGCTCGGGTCCCCCAGGGTCTTCCCTGGGTTAGGCGGAGACAGGTGTGAACAGCAAGTGGGGGCTGAGGCTGTTGATCCAGGAAGTGTGTTAATGAACTCAGGGGAAAACTCAAGAAAAATGTAAAAGCTGAAAAATGGACTCAGGACAATTTCCAGGCTGCCTAGATGAGGCTGAGGCTGAGGCTGTAAGGATATGGACAATGTGGAGTCTGCAATCCTAGTTGGGTGGGGAGAATGTGAGCATGTGAAAGCCATTACAAAGCAAAACCTCTCTGGAGGCTAACAGAATTAAGTACAGAAGGGAGGGAGGGCATAGAACAATGGAGTTAGCCAAAAGGAGTGAGCCCAATAGGACCCTGATAATGAGGGAGGCTTTTCCAGGGACTCCAAGGGTGGCTGAAGACTGAGGGCAGGGAGGCACCTGTGAATGCCTGAAAAACAGCACAGCTCTCCACACTCTGAGAATTTCATGGGCTCCAGGAATTCTTAATGTGGTGTTCATTTACTGCATAAATAATGGTGCTCATTTACTGCACAAATAAGCCTGCAACTCCAGTGGGAATCAAGTCATAGTATCTTTATTTTCCACTCTCTCACAGTCTTGTCCATGTGTATATAAATTTCAGACAGTGAAGATGTATGCACAAATACATATTGGTTTTTTTTAGTGTTCTATTATGAACATTTTTTTAAAAGATTTTATTTATTTATTTGACAGAGACAGCGAGAGCGGGAACACGAGCAGGGGGAGTGGGAGAGGGAGAAGCAGGCTTCCCGCTGAGCAAAGAGCCCGATGCGAGTCAATCACTGCACCAAACTTAACTGTTGTCTCATTTAAGAAACTGCGACAGCTACCTCAACCTGGGATCATGACCTGAGCCGAAGGCAGACACTTAATGACTGAGCCACCCAGGCGTCCCATATCATGAACGTTTTTTATATTGTAATATATTTAGTATTTACCATTAATATATTTTTTAAAGATTTTATTTATTTATTTGAGAGAGAGAGAATGAGAGATAGAGAGCACGAGAGGGAAGAGGGTCAGAGGGAGAAGCAGACTCCCCGCCAAGCAGGGAGCCCGACGCAGACTCGATCCTGGGACTCCAGGATCATGACCTGAGCCGAAGGCAGTCGCTTAACCAACTGAGCCACCCAGGCGCCCCTACCATTAATATTTTTAACAGCTACATAACTTTCCAAGAAAAAGGTACACCAAACTTTTATTTGGCTTTCCCCTAGAATTCATAGCATGTATAGGCTGTATCTAATTCTTGGCTATTGGAGATAACTTTATTATCTATCTTAATGCATGTAGCTTTTTCCCTTTTTAAGATTATTCCCTTAACAGAATTTTTCAAACCTGGGTGAAAGGTAAGTGACAAACTGCTTTTTAAAAGCATTGTACAAATGTACACTTCCACCAGCAGAATAAAGAGTATAAAACATTACCAGTTTGGGACTCTGTTCTTGATCCTAGCGTTTATCCTTATACCTTTTGAAAAGGCATTGTTTCTATAGACATACCTCCTTTTATTGATTTGCTTTATTGCACTTCACAGATACTACATTTTTTTTTACAAGGTGAAGGCACAAGACTTCAGTGGAGGAAGTAACTGCAGATGTGGTGGAAACAGAGAAATAGAATTAGAAGTGGAGCCTGAAAATGTACTTAATTGCTGCAATCTCGTGATAAAAAAACTAAGAGATGGGGAGTTGCTTCTTACAGATGAGCAAAAAAAGTGGTTTCTTGAAATGGAAGCTACTCCTGGTGAAGATGCTGTGAAGATGTTGAAATGACAACAAAGGATTTAGAATACTGCATAAATTTAGCTGATAAAGCAGGGGCAGGGTTTGAGAGGACTGACTCCAATTTTTAATTAAGTTCCACTGTGGGTAAAATGCCAAACAGCATCCTTGCTCCAGAGAAATGGTTCACAAAAAGAAGAGTCAATCACTGCACCAAACTTCACTGTTGTCTCATTTAAGAAACTGCGACAGCTACCTCAACCTTCAGCAACCATCACCCTGATCAGTCAGCAGCCCTCACAGCTGAGGCCAGACCCTCTGCGCCCGCCCCCCCGCCCCCGCGAAAAGCTTATGACTTACTGAGAGCTTAGAGGATGGTTAGCCTTTTTTAGCAATAAAGTATTTTTTAATTAATGTAGGTACATTGTTTTTAGGGGCCTAATGCTATTGCACACTTAACAGACCACAGTAATCTTTTATATGCACTGGGAAACCAAAAAATTCATTTCACTCACTTTATTGTGATACTTTTTTGCAATGGCCTGGAACCAAACCTGCAATATCTTAAAGGTTTGCCTGTCCATTGTACTGACATGGAGAGAGTTCCAAAACATACTGGTGCACTTAAAAGAAAAAAAAACAGCAACGCAAGGTGCAGAGCTGCAGATCCATGTGGTAGTGTCAGTACTCACACATGTGCGTGCTTCATCACAGTTTCCATGTGAATGCATGGAAAATTCCTGCCAGATTCAACAAACTATTAATACCATTAGTTCTGGGGAGGTGAAACCAAGATGTGCAGTTGGAATATACCCCTTGGTACTATTCAAATTTCTTGTTACTTTCACTGTAATTTAAAATTACTTCGAGAAATAGAAAAAGAAGGTAAAACCATCTGAAAGGCAAGGCCACCACAAGGGTTAGAATCCTCACGATGGCCACTGATTAGTCGGATAACCCTAAACGAGTTAACTTTCCTAAATTCCAGTTCCCTCACCAAAAAATGAAGGTAAATGACACAGGATCTTAGCATCATGCCTAAATACAAAAGCATTCTGCGTTTACAAGAAGGCACCATCGTGTCTTCTTCAGGCTCCAGACTGACCACTTGGGCTTTCACACAATAATGTTTTATTTCGTTTTGTTTTGTTTTGTTTTTCAGCATTTACTATGTGTAAGCCAGGCATGTATAGCTGTTAGGGAGAAAACAAGGTAGAATGAGAAAGTCTCTGTATTTGAGAAGTATCAACTATCTGCTCCTCTTGCCCCTGTTTTCACTTATTCCTTTCAATAGGAAGAATGGCAATGCTTCCAAGGAGAAAATAATTAGGGGAATATCAGAGGTAAATCATTAATTCTTACCTCAAACAAAGCAAATTATAAATATTAATTCTACAAAAGCCTAGTGAGTGGATCAGTTCAGGACCAGATTGCCCAAAGAACATTCTGAGTCCCACGCCCCCCACCCCCACCCCGTGTGAGTGAACACGGCACGGAGCACATACTTTATTTGGAATGTTGACATCGCTGCCCGCTGCCCGAAGCACTTTGCTGCCTTCTTCATGACCTCCTTTAACAGCCAGAAAGAATGGTGTTTCTCCATTCTAAAAAAAGGAAAAAAATTAAAATTAATCGCCCTTTGGCAAGGAATGAAATTACTTGAGAAACAGCATGTTTTCTCCCTACCTTTTATGTATTACTCTTAATGGATAGCATTTGTTGAGCATCTATATGCCAACTTATATTGCCAAGACTATGTGCCTTGGCAGAGTTAAAAGCACAGCTCTGTGAGGTCAGGATTAATATTAACCCATTTTACAGAAAAGGAAACTAAGCCTTAGCTGGAAAGGGACAAGACTAGTATGCAAATTCAGCTGTTTGGCTCCAAAGCCTGCACCCTCGCCTATCCTGTTATGCTGCCTCCTTGCAAGCTTTCCATCCACCATTTATACCCTTAATCTTTATTAATTTATCTAGCAAACATTTATTTCTCACTTACTGCCTGTCCGGCGAAGGCATTGCGATTGGAAAGATGAAACAAACACTGCCCACAAGAAGGGAACAGCCTAGTAAGCAAGATAATCATGGAAATGCGAGTTACAATGCAGTGTGAAACTTATCAAAATAGATATATAGATACAAATGGTGCACATTTGTACCAAGTACAGCTTTAAAGTTTAAAACTGATTTAAACTGTTGTGTGTCCTTAAAAAAAAACAAACAGTAATACTCTTTCTCAGTAATTAGGTTTCCTGAAACTCATTATGATAAATGTTAGTAGGACAAAGTGAGAGCTTAGTTTAGGCCAAAATGCAGAAAGAAAAGAAGGAACTGGTATCACACAATACATGGATATTTCCCCCTCCTCATGAAGATTCTTTCCTAAAAATACTGGGAAGAAATGCAGAATTCCTTCCCATTCCTTAACCATTTCCCTCCTTGGGCAGTATTCTGCTTAACAAATGCATTCGTTTAAATTCAGAAGGCTTTACTCGTAGCTAATTAGATATGAACAATCCTGTCAAGACGGGTGCAGGAGCGTGGAACTAATGTCCCCATCTCAAAGGGATGGAAAAATTGTATCCACGCTGCTTTACCTGAGTGCCTGGGCCTGCCATCTGTTACAAAGGAATTTCTCCCCATAATAGGCCTTCTCATTTTCCAGGAAAAGAGATGCCAAATGGCAAACCACAGTGGGGAAAAGCATTAGCAAAAAAATGTGAAGGAAAGAATTCACATCTTTAATATATCAGGAGTCTAATAAACATTTGTACCTTTGACCCAACAATCTTACTTCTAAGAATATACCCAAAGGAAATAGTGAGGAATTCAAACTACAGTTTTTATACAAAGAGGTTTGTGACAGCATTACTTTTAAGAAAAGGAAAATGAAATAAAACGTCCAAGAGCTGAAGAAGAGTCAAATGAACTCTGGGCAGCCAATAAAAATATATATGCATAGGAACACAAAGAAAATGGAAGGAAAATATTTCCAACATCTCTAAAATAATCATTTCAGTGTGAAGAAAATACAAGAACTACTATTTATATTTATTTTTATCTTAAATTTTTAACTGTATATTTCTGGTTTATGTTTTGTAGTGTATTAATTTAATTACAAATGTATATGTGACAGATGCACACCCAAACTTTCCTTACCGATAGGAGTTTGCTACCAAGCCTCTTTAGAGACAACTCCTCTAGAGTATATTCATAGGGGTCACTCCAACTGGTGCAGCAACAGCTTACAACAGGAAACAGAGGCAGCCAAGGACTGTATGAATATTAGGGGGCCTTATCCAAAAGGCTAATATTATCACTAGTCATTATTTTGTGCAGATGAAACATATCATAATCTGCAATGACAGTTAGTTGGACTTTATGAGCTCTCTCCAATGTGCCCTAACTCAAAAATAGCTAAAAGGTGAAGTCCAAGTGCACACATTCCAGTGGTAAAGTATTAGAACAGGGCAAACATGATTAAGACTTTCAATTAAATCCTGTGACTACAGGGGGCATCTGGGTGACTCAGTTGGTTATGCATCTGCCTTCAGCTTGGGTCATGATCCTAGCGTCCTGGGATCGAGTCCCACATCGGGCTCCCTGCTCAGCGGGGAGTCTGCTTCTCCTTCCCCTTCTGCCTTCCGCTCCCCCTGCTTGTGCTCTCTCTGTCAAATAAATAAAATCTTAAAAAAAAAAATCCTGTGGCTATGATCTCTATATTGGTTTGTGAAGGCCAATCACACCTAAGATTTACCCTAGGTGATTCATGTTTTGTTTTGTTTGTAGCTTCTCACACATCATTCATAACTTTTATTCAAGAGGATCAAATTCTCGGGATCTTCTTTAAATAAGTTAAACCAATTAAACCTGATCATCACTATGCCAGACAGTCAGAAAAGACTGAACACACACAAAAGTAAACAAATGAAGGCTCTATTTTTGTCCATGATCCTCAAGTGAAAGCTTGGCTTAACTGCCCCCAGAAACTTGAAGAGAATAAAATGAGGATAATAGCAATATATACCACGGGTGCAAACTCATATACTGCACCCAGACCACACCAGTGATAACAGATGCCATCTGTTGCACACTTACCATGTGCCAGGTGCTATTTCCTGGTGCTCTGTGTGTGACATCGCCTTCCCATTTAAACCTCACTATGGCCTTAGGAGGCTATTTGACAGAAGAGGAAACTGAGGCTAAGAGGGGCTAAGGACTAAGCCCAAGATCACCTACCTAGAAGACTGATGGAGCCAAGACCTGACCCACACAGTCAGAGCCCTGCTTTTAATCTCTGGGTACGCAAGTCCAGGGATGCAAGGGACTAGCCTGGTGGGCTTCTCTGGTCCAAAGAGAACACCAACTTGGCCCAGGTATCATGGAGGCTCACTCTCATACCCTTCCATTTTCATTATGTTGCCCACAGTTGCTACTTTTATGGTCATAAGCCACCAGTTCTAAGTACCAGCTTATTTTAACGTATCTGGGATCAGGATGCATCTCACAATCTCAGTCAACCAGATAGTAGATGTGATTTTGTTGTCACTGCTTGCAGTGTGCATTAAATCAGAATGGGTGTCAGCTTAGAAGAAAATCTCAGAAACCCTAGTGGGGTACCCTTTAAAGAAATGTTGCATCGCAAGCACCTCTGAAGGCAAAAAGGACAGTATTTTGTTTGGAAAAGCAAAGACATCAAGACTCTGAGTAAGAAAGTGATTTAGAAGAATCAAGCTCAGTGTGAAGTTCAGGAACCAACTTATCTTTTTTATTTGTTCCTTTATATGTGTCTAATAAAAAATCTAAGATAAAAATCCAAAAAACTCTTTCAAGAAGTATAAACTATTCTAAGGGACAAAAAAAGCTTGTATGTGTCATGATTTAAGTGGCAGCATTATTTTTTCTTAGTGTCATATAAAATAATGATATACATTATAATCACTGGTGCCTTAAATTAAGTCATTATCTTCTTACAGAATTGCTCAGAGAGATACCAAAGAGCTCTTTCCAAAGAGCCCATGTAGAATTCATTGACCCAAAGGTTAAAAGTGACTATCTAGAGCAGATGACTCACAAATCTGCCTCCACAGCCACAGCTTCTCCACCTAAGCCTGCACCCAGTTTCCATCCCCCAACCTTCACTGAACCCCAGAGAGTTTCTGTCTCCCCACTGCTCCCCACCTGAATGTACGTGTACCCTGCAGGTGCCTCAGAGTAAAGTCCTCCAAAATCCTTATTACTGATTTCAATCACCTGCTCGCCTCTGCTCAGGGGCAGGCACTCCCCCTTCCCAGTAGTCCAAACCGGCGAATTGGGCATCAAAAATTCTTCCCTCTCTCTAACCCTAGTCACAAATCCTACGGCCTCTGCCTCCTCCTATTACTTCATCCTATTTGCTCCCTGTGAGTGTCCTGGTGGCAGGTTTTCTCCATAGCTCCTGATTTAGCAATTTCCAGTATCACCTGACTGGGTGTCCCCACCTCCAGGCTCTCCAGGCACCAAGCCCCTCTTCCAACCACTGTGACAGTCACAGGCCTATGCCCAAAATGGAGTCCATCTCTCTTTGCTGCTTAAAACCCTGCAAGGTCTACAAATCAAAGCCAAGCCCTCCCCCTGGTGAGCACAGCCCTTTTTAATCTCTGCCTTGGCCCTCTCAGCTCCCACCTTTTCTCATGCCCTTCTTGGCCTGGAGGCTTCTAGAATAAGAATACATACTCTACATAGCATAAATTACATATTAAATATTTTTGAGGGAATGGGTGAATAAATGAATGGATTAACAAATGACTTGCTGGGATACTTTAAAGAAAAAAGAAGGGATTTTTTAGCATGACATTCTACACCCTACAGCACTAACATCTTTGTTTTCCTCCCATGAAAGCCATTCCTCCCACCCTTCCACTTTTGAGTCTTGCACTTACCTATAATGAGCAACTTCACGTACCTCATTGATCTCATTTATTTCTTGCCATTGGGTTAGCAGCACCTGGACCGCAGGACTGTGACCATGCTTTGCTGCAAGATGCAGGGCAGCGTTCCCCTCCTGCAACAGAGACAAACTCATGATAGAGTCCTCTGCACTGAGCAACATGCCCCTCCAACAGGGCTGAAATGGGGCTCCTGAGAGGTTTCATTTTGATTAAAGCTGTGGTCCAGAGTGTGGGCCACATTATCCATAGTTTCAAGTGAAATTTACAATTTTTTAAAGTTTCAAATGAAAAGACATAGTTGTTTGAACCAGTAGGGAAAAACCATCCATGCTCCTTGTTCTACCTTTGCTGCTAATTTGCTAACAAAAAGTGAAACAACTTAGAAGCAATCCCATACGACCTCTGTGAAGGTAAACTGGTGAAAGATTTCTGGGAGATAGTTTAGCAATGTATACCAAATGATTTAATGTGCAAAACTTTTGGACGCACAATTCCATGTGTATGTATGAATTCCTCTTAAGAAAATAATCAAAGATGTGCAGAAAGATATGGGTGTCCATTAGGGTTTCCCTCCCCAGTCAGGTGAGACTGAGTCTCCAGCAGACCTCAAGGGAGGAAAAGAGGAAACTGGAGTTAACCGCGGAAAAATCCATGTAGTCTATTGACTTCACAAACATTTATGGAGTGAAAATTAGCAATCTGGATGTTCCACTGCAAAAGTAGGTTCATTTTATCTGGATATTCCATACTCTGACTGTAGTAACAACTGAACATTCCTGACCAAAATGACATCACTAAATCTATATACCAGGTGTCACTCCCCTTTCTCTTGTTCGCAGCAAAGAAATAAGAGTCCAACTCACCTTGTCCTTTTCTGAAGTGTGTAGATTAAGGAAGATAAGTTTTTCTATCATTTCAGTGTGGCCCCTGTTGGCTGCCCAAAGAAATGGTTTTCTTCCTTTCTGAAAATCAATCACAAACCTCCAGTGTTTATTACACATTTATTGGACAAGCAAGACAACTGACAAGATGGACAGCAGTTTGATGGTTACAAGGAGACCAAGACGGTGCTTCTGGTCATGAGGTGTAGGCCCTTCCCAGGCAATAACAATCTCTGTAAGTCCCAACCAGATCCAGTTCTGAGTTGCTGCCCAAAATTGTGGGAACTCCCCATCAGCACAGAATCATTTTTATGGGGGCAGAAAAGTACTGTTCAGAAGCGTTCCTCCCAAGCACCTGGGGAAGTGCCAACTCACAGCCAGACAACAAGATTCATTTTCAAACGTAGGATTTCTACCAACTTTCCGTGTTTGTTATTTTTTTAAATTTTTTATTGTTATGTTAATCACCATACATTACATCATTAGTTCTTGATGTAGTGTTCCATGATTCATTG